TATATAGCAACTCTCACTGCGGGTTTACCGGCAGGATTGTGAAACTGCATGCCATTAGCCTTACTTCAGGCACGAGGGAAACTGAGGCACACAGGCCTGAGAACCCTGCTAAAGCCTGTGCAAAGGTACAAGCCGATCCAGTGACACAGCCCCACAAAGCACTGCAGCCGCTCCATCTTCACCTCCCTGCCCTGCAAATGCCCTCGGGGCAGCCATGCTCTGTGCTTTTCGGGGGCACAGGAAAGGGGAATAGCAGGCACTGGGCACTCTCTGGGATAGCAGCCTTCTCTCCCGTCCTGCCGGCTGCACACAGCCTGCCCGGCCTCTTCCTCCGCTAACAAAGCATTTTTCTTTTCCCTCCGGAGCATTTTGCAACTGGAGCGGGAACAGAGAGATCGTGCTACTTTTCAAAAGCCGCGGCCTGAATTCTCACATCTACTTGGAGCCCCACACCACCAACATTAACCTTTTAGGCACTTGGCAAATGCTGACATGGGCTGTACCAAACCCTTGGCTTGCATTTAACCAYACAACCCGTGAGGATTTGCACCCAGGGTCTCGCTCCAGTCCAAGATCCTTGCAGGCGTTCAGCTGCGATGGGAGAACACACACACCCGTATCCACAGAGGCAACCCTTTTGCAGCAGTAACTCGAGGACTCCAACCTGATTTTAGACAGAGATTGCTGAACAAAGGGCAGCCACCTCGCTCCAAGCACAGAGCGGCACTCTGGCTCCCGGGATCGRAGCCAATAGACGCTGCATAGCAGTAGGAGAGCTTACAGTAAGGATTTCTAGGATCACGCAGAAGAAAACAATCACTAGTTGTTAAACTCATAGACAAAGTGCCTGCAAAGAACAGTATCAATAGAGATCTCCCGCTGCCCCTTGTAAATGGCTGGGAAGCTCCAGCCCCAACAGCTGCGATTGATCAATCCCCTTCTTCAAGCCCTCCCCTCCGATCATGTGATGGTCGTGCCCGAGTGAATTAAGCTGCTGGAGCTGAGCGCTGCGTCACTCCGTGTGGTGAAGGGGCTCGGGGTGCTCTGCTGGGGCTGGTGTCTGCAGCATGGAGAAAGTGAGTGCCGCCTTCGAGCCGGGCTGCTGTGCCAAGCAGGACTAGGACTAAGGCTGGGCCGCCTATGGGGTTTGGGCATGGTGCCTGAGGTAGGAGGAGAAAAGGATTAGCTGAGAGGAAATGCGAGGCTGATGGATGGCTGTGGGAGGAATGGTTAGGGCTGACCAGCCGTATTTCTTCTCTTCTTTAGCATGTTATCTAAGTGGGGAGGCTGAGGAATGTTTATATTCTCAAGTACTCTAAAGGTTTGGGTCCATTTGCAACGCTACAGCTTCAAGACTATACTTTTTTCCCCCCTTAAGCTGTGTTTTTTTCTTCTGGAAAAATGCCTTTTGGGCACAGAAGTGGGTTAACTCCTAATGCAACAGGAGAGGAAAGCAGGCTGGTAGTGTATTCTAACCCACCTCTGCCCTCACAGCTTTCCTTTCCTCGAAAGACCCCCCGGGCGCAGAGGCTGCATTCCAGAGCCAGACGGCAGAGTTAGCGCTGTRGGGATAAGCAGTTTAGTGACTCGAGGAACCCTGATGTCAGCAGCCTGTGTGTGGGCAGAGCAGGGAGCAGGCAGAGGGCRAGGACAGCATGAGGGGGCTGGGGGGCAGTGCCCAAGCAAACTAATTAGCAATTGGTCTCCCTACCTGACCTGGCACTCTGTTAAGTGAAGCTCAGTTACGCTATTTCTGTAGCAGTTGGTGGATCATCTCCTGCTTGTGTGGCCAGGTTTTGGTAGCAGAGGGGGCTACCAGGGTGGCTTCTGTGAGAAGCTGCCAGAAGCTTCCCCCATATCSRGCAGAGCCAAGGCCAGCAGGCTCCAGGATGGACAGACTTYTGGCCARGGCTGAGCCCATCAGCAATGCAGGAAAGCCTCTATGGTAACACCCTGCAGCCTGTGGTGAAGGCCATGKTGAAGCAGCTGTCCCTCTGCAGCCTATGGATGTCAATGGGGACTCAGAAATCCACTTTAGCCCAAGGAGGACCCTGTGAGAGGGCAGGAGGATGCCCGAAGAAGGCTGTGACCCAATGGCAATGGTCCCATGTCGGAGTGAAGAACTAGAGCTCACATGGAGGTGGAGCACTGYCTCMTGTGGGAGGGACCCCACACTGAGCAGGGGAAGACTCCTGTCCTTGAGCAATGGCAGAAACATCCTGTGATGAACTGATGATAACCCCCACTTGCTGTTTCCATGTGCCACTGAGGGGGAGGAGGCAGAGCCTGGGAAGGAAGGGGGGGGGGAGATATTTTTAAGGCTTTTTTTATTTCTCATTATCCTGCTCTGACTTTAATTGGTAATAAATCMAATTAATTTCCCCAAGTCGACTTTGTTTTAGCTATGATAATAATCAGTGAGTGATGTCWCCCTGTCTTTGTTTCAACTCATGAGGCTTTTGTTCTATTTTCTCTCTGYTGTCCAGTTGTGGCAGARTGGCTTTGGTGGGTACYTGGCATYCAGCCAGGGCCAACCCACCACAMCTCCTTGTCACCTTATGCTGCTTAGGGGAGTGGGAGACCCCAGTGGCTGCTGGGACAGGCAGCTGGCCTGAGTCAACTCTCCCTCTAGCACAAAAACCATGTWTAGGTCTACCTGAGCTGCTCTGTGCCCTGGCCCCAGCAGGATGAGAAACCTTGCCTTGGTATAGACTAACTGCTGTGGTTTGGCCCTGCAGGGACTGGTTGTTACTCAGCTGGACATTGAGCCTGGTGAATGCATCAAGGTCAAAGGGAAGATCGAGTCTGATGCCAAAGGGTGAGTGAGGTGGCACTGGGGGAGGCCAGAGCTCCTGCTGTGCTCAGCTTGTCAGCACTGGCAGCTGGAGCTGCTGCACAGGCACCCCCTTKGCAATGGCTTTCTTTCCCCAGGTTTGCTGTGAATGTCGGGAAGGACAGCAACACCCTCCTGCTGCATTTCAACCCTCGCTTTGACTGTCACGGGGAYGTCAACACCATCGTGTGCAACTCCAAAGAGGATGGTGTGTGGGGGGAGGAGGACAGAAAGGCTGACTTTCCCTTCGAGCATGGTGACAAGGTTGAGGTGAGGCTGCAGGAGTGTGTACAAGGCCCTGGCAACGAAGGGCCAAGGGCAAGGCTTTTTATTGCTGCCCTGTGCTTCTGCAGTGCAGAAGGAGCAGGCGTAGAAAAGGGAATGAGCCACAGGGGAAAAGTCTGGAAGCTAAAGCCAAGGAACTGTCTAGAGCTGCACTGGCCAAGTCAATGCCCAGCAGCTCGGATGTGTTGAGTGGCCCACTCTGGCCTCCTGTAGGAAGCCAAGCACCTCAGAGCACTAACAGCACTGAGGTGAGACTCAGACTGGGTCCATCTCATCCCACAGCTGCACAAGCTTCCTCCCTTCCAATGCTTCAGCTGGGCAGGGAGGAGGCTGAGCTGCTGAGCCCGGCCTTGGCACCAGCAGCCACCAAGCCTGTCCTGCACACAGACTGGAGGTAGTGGGGASTGAGCAAAGCCTGGGAGCTGTGATRTGTCASCCTTCATTCTTTCTTCCTTCTTGTGGCACTCTACAGATATGCATCTCCTTCGATGAAACCGAGGCAACGGTGAAGCTGCCCGAGGCAGAGTTCAAGTTCCCAAATCGACTGGGCATGGCAAAAATTGAATACCTGGCTGTGGAGGGTGACTTCAAAGTCAAATCTATTAAGTTCAGCTAACAGCTTTAGCTTGGTTTGTTTKGTTTTCTGCCCCCTGTGTAGTGAAATAAACCCAAACTTGCAATGGCTGCTTCCTCTGCTGTTTCCTGCTCTAATCYGCTTGCTCCTGTGTGTGCTATGGGGATGGAAGGAGGAAATGTGTATCCAGCCATTTTCCTCCRTACACTGCCTGGAGCTACCCATTTACCCTGCTGGCTACACTGAGTGGTCGCTCTCTGGTTTCTAAAATGTAGGATTAGTCCCAGCCAGGAACAAGTTGGGTGTTCACTGTGCCATCTCTGACCACAAAATGATGCTCCCTGCTGGGGATGGGGGACTGACARGGAACACAGGGCATGGCTTGTGATTTTTGCTTTCCTGGAACATGCTCAGCAGTTGGGAGCAGTGCTGGCTGCCACTGATATACCTGAGGAGCAGGGAAGAGGAGGCAGGTGGGGCTACCTGTGCTTGCTGGGGAAAAGATGTGGACTAAAAGGTGAAGCCCAACAGAAAGCTTAGGAGAGAGGTCTTGAGAAGGAGGATGCAGGCTGTCTGTGCTGCCTCATAACTCAAGGTATTGGCACTGCCAGAGACAGAGGATCAGGTACCATGAAATCAGGGACTGAGCAACAGGTCAGTATTGGTGACAAACCCCATGGCAGTCTATGCGGCAGTGCCTGGAGCACTTCACTGCTAAAGGGCTGTATCCAACAAAGTTAACCTGGGCATTTAATCCTGAGTGCACTGAACACAACTAATTGCATTTAATCAGACAAAGAAGAAAAAAATTCTTCTTAAACAATCTCTTCTGCTTACAACATCTCTGCTCACGCAATGCCTTGGAGTGTGTGTGCTACTGCTCTTTCCCCACAGCCTGCTGGTCATGCTGATCCCAGACAGAGCTGGAGTTGGAGCTGCTGTGGCATTTGAGGACCCGACGGAAAGTACTCAAGTCCTTCATATTGTGTGGAACTGGAAGCCAGGACAGGCTGGCTCTGTGGCTGTGTGACAATGGTGCTCTGTGCAGCTCTGTGCAGGTGAGGCCCTCTTAGCCAAATGCTGCTCCAGTGCTGGAATGTGATCCCTGYTGGCTAATCCAGGCACGGCTGCTCYTTGAGCAGCTGGGCCAGCTGCTCGGRTAGGGCAATAGCATTCTGTGGAGTGTTTCAGCCATCCCAGGCTTTTTATGGAAGCTGTCAGGCTGCCTTCATGACAGCAACACTGTCCTGCCCTGAGCTGCAGCAGCTGCTTAGAGCTGGGCACCCCCAGGAGACCCTGCAGTCTACGGTATTAATTCTTGTCCTGTATCTACTATATCATGTATGGGATAGGAGGCTAAAAGTGTTTACAGGCTCGGGTGGGTTTGCTAGGGAAAGGATAAGACAAGTTTTGCTGGTGCTTTGCCTTGCCAAGTAAGGATTTTTGTATTTTGCAGGGTACTTGGGGTGGGGAGTTACCAAAACCAGGATGATTTTTGTCTTGTTTTCCCCCTCTGCCCTATTACCTGGCTGAAGGTAAGTTCTATCAAGTGTGGGACTGAAAAAGTACAAGGCCCTGATGCAGCAGAGGCACAGGAGAGTTTACAGCTCTCCAGTGTCTCAGGCTGCCCTGGTCAGGTGAGGTCTGTGTGTCTCAGAACTGACAAGAATAAAGCTAATCCCATTTTTTTCCCTTAAGCTGGCAGTCCTGATTGCCAGGYAGGTTAGCCACAAGTGCTCCTGACCGTGGTGCTCAGGGTACAAACAACGCCTTCCTGTGGGCTACCCCCCTCCTGGACTTTCCACAAGAATTAATTAGCTTTATCCTGCTTTTTAGCGCTGGCAGCTACCACTCAGGAGACCATAAAACAGGAGAAAGGGTAGGAAGGAAGCATCCTTTGCCAGCATTTCCTGCTGCTTGAGTCTTTTCTCCCATGTCTAAGAGCTATAAATAATCCCGTTCCTCCAAGTGACACCAGTAAATGCAGAGTGCCCTGGCTGGCTCCTGGAGTGGTGACAAGGCTTTGTCTTCTGCTAGAACCATTAGGAAAGGCAGAACTCCATGGCCTGCTGCAGAGGAGAGGGTCACAGTGAATGGGCAAGTGATGTTTGTCCCTGCCAAATGTGCTCTCCTGAACCACACAGGGAACTCATGATTAGATCTCTGGGAGAACACTGAGCCCACCCAGCTCCCCTGGGGAGRAGCACAAAGCACCACAACATGGCCTAAGGGTGCAGGTTATCTTTCTGGACTTAAATCCTACACACTGTGCAGTCACCATTTTATCTCTATACAGCATCATGGCGAGGGAAAATGGCATCACAAAACCCCCTGCAAAACAGCTGTGAGGCTGTGTCTTATAACATGGACACTCAGTTGGGTGTGAGGAGAAATTTCTTCAGTGGAAGACTGTCCAGGGAAGTGGTACAGTCACCATGCCTGCAGGTATTTAAAAGAGGTGGAGATGGGGCACARCTGTGGATTTAGGGGTGTGAGGTTAACAGCTGATCTTAAGAGTCTCTTCTAATAATATGATMAATTATTTTATCAACAYAGATTAAGTGATGTGGGTTTTCACYTCACACCTTGGAAGAYRAGAACAAATAACATYRTAAAAAATATTAGTTTGGACACAGTTGATTGGACAGGAATTAAAATCTCATGCATGCCTTGGAAGAACAGTGATGCCTAAGACAGACCAGCAGCTTTGTCTTCTCAGAAAATAACCTCTCCCTGAGCAGTTCACATTAACTTCACTCGACAGAAATAGGCCATCCAAATGACTGTGGCTACATGAGCCTGCGTGTGGCACTGATTGTCACAGCCTCAAAAGACAGTCAGAGGACACTGTGCACCCAGGAACTATGTACTGTGTGTACCAGGGAAGCTGAGGGGCAGCCCAGGTTCTGGTGAGGCACGACAAGCCACCAGGGTCACTTCCCATGGAATTTAAAAGCACAATGTTGCCCAACAATTTCTTCCAAATAATACACATACAAAATTAACAACAATCCGTGTACAATGAAGTTACCACCAGCCAGCTCTTTGAGAGGTGACAGTCAYGTTCTTTCCTCCCTTGTGCCCTCACCTCCCACTCTCTTAGCCCCAGTTCCAACATTTACAAGCCAAAGGGGACTTTACCACTCACTTCAAAAAGTCAGCCCCAAACCCTGTGCTGCATTATTATCTCATAACTATTCTAGGGCAGCACACAAGAAGCCATACCCACACCATTGCCCCTTTCCTGGCGTTTTGATGATGGTTTGACCCCATGGGCGGAACTCCACGCTATTGGTGCAGAATATCCTCGGGGTACCTGTCCTGTCCAGGTTGTAGACAGCAACCAAGGCATGAAGGCAAGTCCTGCCACGCTGAGACCACCATGGTGTGGGCACCCTCCCATCCCCACAGATCATAGCCCTCCCTCCTTTTGAAAGCCAAAGACACAACTCTCCTGCTTTCCAACAAACTTTAGCATGTTTCCCCACTAAAACCCCCAGCTGCATGCTGCCAATCTGCCCCGTGGAAAGAAAAAAAAAAAAAAAAAAAAGCATAAAAATACAGTTTTCCTTACCTTTTCTCAGCAGGCTTCAGGCTGAGATGTGTGTCCTCCGGCAGCGCCTCAGTGTGGGCTCCTGTCCAGCTGCCCTTTGTTAGCCCCGATTGCCACACAGGTGTTGGCCATAAAACACAGCAGGAGGTGAAGGCAGCAAATTTTTGGGGGTTTTTGAGTTTTTTTGAGTTTTTTTGAGGTGTTGGTGAGCACGGGTTATCCCRGAGCCCCTCACCAGCTGCGCTCCCCTCAGCAGCCCCTCAGATGGCGGCGGGGTCTCTTCGTGAGGGGAAATGCTTCCCGCCCAATTTTCGGCGGGAAGAGCCACTAGAAAGTTCTCCTCAGGGGCCCCCTTTGCCCCCCAAAACCTCCCCTCACGGCTTCTCATATTCCAATTTCATCCTTTCCAACCTGCCCTGAGTCTTGCTGGTTTGTTTTTTT